AAATTTAAGTATTGTTTCGAGACTTCCGGTCCTTCGTCATCTTAAGCGAAATTAGGTTAATACATCTCATATTGGTATTATTGTCTTAGTGTTAACTTGCGAATTTTAAAAGAATGAGTTCTAGTTCTGATGATGTCCATCATATTATGGACGAAAGCTCAGCCCGTTTTCCCCGAATAGAAGGAGCAGGTTTCGTGGACTTGGTCAATCTCAACGTCGTATAAAAGCCAAACGGCTGCAGTACATCGGGATTCAACCGTCCTCTTTTGGTGACATCTTGATATAGAATTGTGGGATTAATCAACTGTGGCAGAAGACGCAGGGCTAGGTACATTTCACAAGGTCTCGCTGTCATTCCGACCAAGTTGCGAAAATGAGATCAAAATCAACACTATGCAGCTAAAGGGGACTGCGACCAAACCATCTTGGTATTCATATTTACGATAGTTATTTTTAACAGAAATTTCAACGAGCCTTACCAGTACTCGCTGTATAAAATTCAAGTTTGTTAAGCTCAGAATACTTCATATGGATGATTTTTTGGGAGGCAGCACTCATTATTCGAGTATCTTGAAGTAGCATCTAGGATTTACATAAAGCGACTGTGCTTTCACAACCCAGTGGTGAACTAAACAGCTTCACGAAGAATGCTCTCAGAATTGAAGCTTGGGGCTAAATATGATCCTTTGAATAGTCATGATGTTTTCTTATAAAAAAGACCAGTAAAGAATGCAAGCGGTATAGATGCCATGAATTTCTCTAATTAGGCAAAAAAACCACAATGTCTCAGCTTTAAAAAAGCTATTTTAATTTATTAACAATGCTATGGCCTCTTCGGAATTTATACAAAAATATATATATAGGCGCACATATCACATAATCTTAATTCTTATCATAGAATATGCTTGATGCAATACCCAGGTATAGGGATATCTGATTAACGAACCCCATTATCGGAAGGCGCACTCAACATATCAGTAGATAAAATAATTATAAATACATGGAATAAAAATAAGGATGCTTCAAGTAAAAAATGCTCATCAAATAAATAAAAGGCTTACCTGAAAGTAGAGTAATTCAAGTAGAGTATGGTCGAAAAAGGCCGTATCAGCCGCATACAGGGCTCGTCTGGCAGCTGAAAACGCCATATGTAACTGACAATTACTTCCAACTGCTAACTGGGAGGTAGAGGTCTGCCAGGCTATTACGGCATTCTCAACCTCAGCGGCTACTTTATCACGGATCACCATGTTAGGCAGGCGCGAGAGCAAAGATACAAGCGATTTCAGAGTCAGTGAACTGATAGACAAGCTTTCAACAGCCTGCGCTCGAAGCCAGGCATCCAGCTGAGTGTCAAGAGAGAAGACAGATATATTTTACACTATCGGCCGTACTATTTGCATTCTGAAATATCAAGCCTAATTAAGGATGATCGATCCAAATGATTAATTATTCAATGCCATTTTAATCGAGGTTTTGCTGAAATTTCGAACTCACTTCATTGTCGCATATGGCTCCTCAGCGTGTTGCAAACTTAGGATATACGGTAAAAGATGGCTTCACCTGCACTACGGCTCTATCCAAGTTTAGCTATAAGACAAAACAGACCTCCTTCAACTAGCATCTCGGAATCGAGACAATCTTGTTTGGGTCGCCAGACTCCATATATCATTAAAATAGTGTTACCATCTT